AGAGATATAGGAGGAGTTGTTGATTTCTTTACCTCACTTTGGTTTTGCAGAACTGTCAACTCTCCCACTATCACAGAGCTTCATATTATAGTTTTAGTTGTGTCTGTGTTCATTTCTTAATGAACAATATTTGTAACAACATTATATGCGGAGAAATACAGCAGCAAAATATTCCAGTTTTTATCAAACAAAATTTGATGGAACAAACTAAAAAACTCCAGATCAAAAAATGATAAAGTCATGAAGGAAGGTAAAAATTACAAATGTTTTATAAAAATTACTTTTCAATTACTGAACCAAGTGTTGGAACAGCTAAAAATCTGTGTAAACTAGAATCAACATCTTTTTTTTAAGGATTATTCAAGATCAAACTCAGGAACCAAACAGTTATAAACTTAGCTCATGTATCACTGAATTGATTCTTCTTAATGCTGGTGAAAAACTGGATAAATAAATTCTGAAGATCTAAGAATTACTTGTAGAATGAGATATTAAGAGTCAGAGCTCTCATTTTGGTCAACTGCTAATGAGTCATGTGAAACTGGAAAATTTAGTTAACCTCTAAAAATCAATGCTTCTTCATTTAAAAAAAATAAGACTATCTTATAAGTTATTGGGAAGAATAAAATGATATAAACTTGCAGGCAGCTTAGCAGTTGCATGACATACAGTGACACTAATTTTTTTCCCAGAAAAATAAAGGGATTATGTAATTGGAATACAATAGAAAGAGAACTGTTAGAAGCTCAATGTTAAAAAGTATTCCTTTGTGAAAATTTGTAGTTCCTATAAAATAAGAAACAAAAAATCAGAAAGGATCAGCAATTAAAAAATGACCATAACATTGGTACACAATTTTATTTATAGGAGAATGTTAAAGCAGAAAGAAATGGAGGGAAAGCAGAGAAAATGATAGAGGAGCTGGACGAGCCACAAAGCAACAAAAAGATGCAGATTACTAATCACTTTCAAAGTGTGTGTCAAATAATTATATTTAAAATATTTGGGGAATAATCCTTTATGAATGGAGGATACTACAGGAAATGAAAGTTGTTGTAGTCTAAATATATGTGATTTAAAAAAAAGTTTAGATCCATGTGTTTGTGACCCATTTCTTTCTCATCATTCATTATGAAAACTATTATAGCAGAAAATGGCTGATTGCTCTACTAAAGGCAATCAGAGCTTGAAGCAAACATAATCACTCTGCTAAAGCAGAATAGGAAGCTAGGTTTCCAACTGAATGGTTTGACGTGGTCATAGATTCATCTTTAATTCTCAGAAAACTGATCATTCTTAACCAGTAGTATGTCTTCCATTTTCCATATAAAGAAAAGACAAAGAAGTCATGGGTAATTTGACTTTTTGGGTTGAGTTTCTAGCGGAAACAACAACAAAAAACTTAATAAGTTGGTGCAATCAGGAATTATTTTCTCATAATCTATGTACCATCTGAAAAATAGTATGTCAAGTCTATGGGCTTAAAGATTAGCAACTGGATGTATACAGTATGCCTAGCACTACATGATACATATGTAAAGCTGGAATCTCTGATTATAAATTCACACAATCACAACCATAATATGTATCAAAAGTATGCACCACCTACTGTTTATCTTGCTGAATTTTCCTATCCACCTTTATAATTCT